GTGCCAGATTCAATTCCACTTGTGCCTTGGCTTTCCTTGTTGCATCCCTGCATTCCCTGACAATGTTCCTGTATTTATCCCAAGTGGCCTGTCCTTAATGTCCCTGCATGCTCTTCTCCTGTAGGGTCCAAGAAAACCACCCTGAGCCCTTGAAACAGAGTGCCACAAGCCACCGCTGCTGCCTCATGAGCTGGAAAGATCAGAGCTGCCAGGAAACGGGGAAGGTCCAGGCCTCGCTCTGTCAAACAGTAACCTGGAAGGAGCAGGCTGCCAGGGAGAGGTGGAGAGCAGGGCCGAGCACAGGACGTGGCCCAGAGCATGGAGGTTGCCGAGAGGAACAACGGGTCAAGGACAGCACATGGCCGAAAGGAAGAGTGTGGAGGCTGCAGCRGGGAGCGAGGACATAGCAGAAGTGCCGAGCGCGGCCACCATAAGCAGAGCCACCACCAGGGAAGGCCCTTGAGAACCAGCCTAGTTTCTTTCACGGTTGGACTCTCACCTTAGCACAATTAGGAAAATCTCATAAAAAGATGTAAGCTTGAACAGGTAAAACAACCATATTTATGGAGTGCTTCTAGGTAGGGCATCCTGAGTTGAAGAACCTCCTTAGAAAATACAAGATCTCTAAGAGCCCTATCTCCCCTCACAAGCAGTTACAACTGAGCTTTATGGGCTATTTCTTCTTTTGGACACCTATCAAAATACTAATCTTTCACCATTTGAGAAACCCAACGTGACTCAGTTTTTCCTCCTCAGCCAGGGCCGCATGGGCGAGATGCTTTCTGCATGAAGGGCTTTATGAGCATCTCCAGAAGACATCTGGTGTGGGGGAAAGGCCCTTAACGCATGGCAGCACTCACAGCCCCTGCGCTCGGCGTCACATCCGCAGGCATCGCGAGCGCCAGCCAAGGTACGTTCATGTTGACAGAACACAGCAGAAGGACACGGGGCAGCATTTRTGACAGGCAGATCAACAGCTCAAATGAGCAACGTCTCCAGGGGCTGGGCACAGCTCTGAAATGTTGAAGCAGCATCTCCAAAACCATCCATGCCGGGTTGATCCCACAGTGAGAAGAGGCTCCAGTGCTTCCCAGCTGAGAAATGCAAACAGCGACATGGCCACGGGCATATTCTTTATATATCTCCAAGGTGCTCATTACACCCACCTAAAGAACACCAACAGGACACCAAGTTGCTTTGGAGAACTGCTCCAAAACATTACAACAGCAGCTACATCCCATGGAGCTTCACAGAGGGTATTGTTTCAGAGCTGCAGTTGTGAAAACATTGAAGCCCAAATAATTTTACTGAAATGTAGTTAAAATATAGACTTGTATAAAATATAGCCTGATACAGACTTGTATTCATTCATACAGAAGTATTTACTTAGATTCTGTTCAAGAATAAACTCGGGGAGCATGTGAACCTTTTCCATGTTTTAATTCACCGCTTCCACCTTCTGGTAGCTTTTAAGGATAGTTTAACACAAAAAATGTCCCTCCTAGATGATGAGTGCCAGTCCTGTATTAATATTTCTGCTTACCACAAGATTGACAAACACTTTTTTTTCTCCCCTTTTTATTCCTTCTAGCCCCAAATAGTTTATTGGACTCACCTGTCTTCTGCACTTTTGCCTTACATTCTGTTAATACAATACAAAGATGCCTTTGCAAAACCACAGAAAATCATTATCTTATTTGTCAGGGCTGAATTTGGTTAAATGCCTCCTTTCTGCTTGCATGGATGGGATCACAGTTTACAGCGCTCCTGGATGGACAGCACAGCTGTATGAAACATGGGACCCTCAACCTGCCCCATAAAGTGGAAAGAGACTAGGAACAATAAAACCTTTTGCTTTCACATCCATATGTATTTAAAAGAGCAGAAAACAGTAGTCAAAAGTATCTTGCTTGCTGTTCTGCTCCACACTGGCCACACTATTTTGAAGTAATGGGGCGTCTAATCTCCCTTCTAAATTGCTCCGAGTTGCTTTAAAAATAATGTAAATAAATCATATAAGGCAGATTGAGGTTTTGCAAAACTGAGGTGGCAGTACAGCACCTTAATTTTCTGATGCTAAAATGAACCTGTGTTTTAGATATATCTCTAATATAATGAACTTTTTGCCTATTAAAAAAAAAAAAAAAGGATAAAATTCAATGTGCATCAGGGGAAAAAAAAAGGTATGTACTATGCTGAAAGAAAAAGCTTCTGTTCTCTCCAAAGATGGACACACCATCTGCTCTGGGAAATACACTTGCAGTAAATCTACACAAACACAAACTCAGGCCACCGGTCAATAAATAATTTAATGAGGTTACACGTCTGCAGGAAAACACGACAGCGCCCTGTCCAGCCTCCAGCCTGAGCCCACAGGCAGGGCAGAGAAATGCATGAGTCAAACAACAAAACACCACTGCATCCAAAGGCCGCTGGAACGCATAGATCTTCACAGAAGATACTGCTTCTGGCCTGGACACTTGTACAATAAGTCTCTGTGTCAAAAATAAAATAAAAAAAAAAGAAAAGAAAGAAAAACAAAGAAAAAAAACATGCAGTATCTGCCTTGAGCCTCCCAGTTTCACTCCAGCCAGAACATGCTCCAGGGACCATGCAGTTTCGGGGGGCTGAGGGTCCAGATGCACTTGTACCAAAACAACAGAACATGAGGGTGGCGAAATGACTAGGAAGGCAGCAGCAAAGCTCTGCCACAAGTCTGGAAGATGGTCCTCGTGGAACAAAGCCGGTTCTCAGAAGGGAAGTCGCTTCAACTGCTCGTACGTGATAAAAAACTGTCGGCAGCGTCAAGGAACTGGGTCAGAGAAAYCCACTGGGCACCTGCAGTGCACGTGGTCAGGCCACGCCAGCAACYAGAGGCAAGGCAAGGAACACACCAGGGCAGTACAGCTGATGGCCAAGACAGCCCCCCTCCTAGGCTGCACAAAATGACTTGAATAGATGGAGATGGGAGCTGTGCGAGGAGAGCTAACAGGAAAGGGAAGAGACTGACCCACAAAATGGTCTAGGCCTGCCTAGACCATTGAGAAAGAGGCAGCTTTAGCCCCATGAGTGTACTTTCTAAGCTGTGACTTACTTTAAATAAATTATATACATATTTTCAGAGGGCAAGAAGGAGCCAGTGGAGCAACACAGCACCACTGATCTTGCAGAGCAAACCAGCACCCATCGTGGAGCAGAAGAATGCTCCTCAGGCTCTCAAAACAGAAGCCAGGTCAGAAACCATTGCACCTCCAAGAGCTCACTTCCCTGGTTTCCTCACATTCCTGACCTCCCAGTAGCCACTCTGAAGGATACAATGATGTTCCAGGGACCAAGCCGAAGCCAGTTAGGCCAGAAACCTTTATAGAGTGCAAAGAAGCCCTCGCTYTTCCACGTCTGGGAGGAGAGAAGAGACAGATCAATTATAAGACATCCCCCTTCAGGCACAGTCAGATATAGCGGATAGTGGCAGGCCCAAGGAAAATCTCTGCTGTAGGAAAATCTATTGTGGTAGGGTAACAAGTTCATGGTTTGAGGATGAAATCAATGTGACACACATGACAAACACCCTTCACAGATTGCAATGTCCTTGACACAAAACAGCTCCATGTCCCCTGTTGTGCTGTTCCTAGTCTGCTSCCTCCTCAGCGTCATGTGTGACGTGATGGACCTTTAAAGCTGCTGAAGCAAGCAGACAGGCCACTGGAGATGATGTTGGGGTTCTCCAACATGCGAGGTTGCAAATGACACTTTGTCCAAGACCGTAAAACTACAACACTAAGAGTTTTCTCCCATAAGGTAAGGTTGGTTGGAAGGATGCTCAAACTGATGGTGAGCTTGGAATTAAGAAAGTGGCTCCTGGTCCTTTTCTGTTTTTTTTCTGAAAAGCTTACTGACAAGGATGGCCTGCGTTTGTTGAATCTGACTGCTAAGATCAATAGTACGTTGTGCTGGATTCTGATGCTAAGACAGGGATTTGCCCACTTCTGTCACCTCCTTACCTTCACAAGACCATCCAGAGTGCCCTTGTAGAGCTCCACGCTGCCCACTATCGCTCGCTGGTTCATCATCCGCGTCCGCACCACATCCACGGGGTTGGAGGCAATGGCACCAGCAAGGCCACAGGTAAAACTAGAACTATATGCATGAAAACATTAGAGAGGAACAGCTCTGAGCACTCAAGCTTGGAATGGGAGACAGCAATGGCTGCAAACTGAAAGCCTCTGTAGACATGAGGACCTAAGACTGCAGCAGCTCTTTCAACTGGAGCTGCAGTTAGTTGCATACCTGACACTCCTGCTGCTCACATCTCCCATTCATACCAGGGCATAGATGTAGAGCAACAGGAGCTGGGACCAGCATTTCCATAACATCAGTGAGCTGAAACCACAGTTTGACTTCACCAGTTTTTCTACTAGGTGTGTTCTACAGGGATGTCTCCCTAGAGATGCTTGCTGGGCATTTTGAATTGCAATTCCAATTAACTCAGCACATCCCTTGTAAGTGCTGGACCTCTGCAGCTCCACAGCACTTGCTCTATGACTCTATACCCTGCTCTAATTAGGTTCCAACCAAACATTTTACCACAAATCCCACTTTCCTCCCCTGCTAAACACTTGCTTCCCAACCCCTGCTAAGCTTGGAGATGGGAGGCAGCCATGGCAACTACTCACACAAAGTGGGCAAAGATTGTATCGCCCATCAGGCCTGACAGAATTAAGTGTTTCTTGGTGATGTCGTAGACTGGCAGTTCCACTCCGACCACGATAGCAGCTCTCTGGGCCGTCGGAACAACACCCTGCAAAGCACAAACGTCAGTCATGGCACCTCTCCCAGGGGCCTCCCAAGGGCTCTTTGCTGACAATCTCCTTTGCATCCTCCTGCCCCTGTGCTGCAGCTGAAGCTTTACAGCTACAGCAGCTTGCTGTCTCCCCGCTTCACTGCAAAGCAGAGGACTCCCTCACCCTCTGCCCTGGGAGCGTTACTCTACCTAGATCAACCTCGTGGTGCTATTCTCCTCCCAGCCAACAGCACACGGGAAGCAGGCTTCAATCCACTGGTCTTCCCCTGCTGAACAGTACCAACTCAACATCAGAGAAGATCAACCCAAGAGCAAAACAGCAGATACCTATGGAGTCACATGTGGCTCCAGGTCTTTCTTGCTACACAGCAGCAGCCAGGCTCTGCTTTGCTAAACCTTGTGATTARGACCAATTGCACAGCAATTGTAACACCAAGCGAGTAATTCAAGGAAACCCAGATTGTGCTAGGAAGTCTCTGAAACTAGGAGAAAACTCCTCAGTGCAGCCATATGATGAGCCAACCCACAAGACATCAATCATTCTCATCACACAAAAGCAAAGCAACCCTAAGAAGCAAAACTACTTTTCAGGTTTATAGCTTCTCTTATTCCCATCCTGCTAAGCTACTGCAGGTCCTTTAGAGTTCCTGTCTAACACAATCCCAGCACAACCAGTTCCAACCCCAATTCATCCCCACAAGAGAACTGGTGAGATGTCGGGATAGCAGAAAAGCTTTGCCTGAGCGTGAGGGAATACTGGAGTTAGGTGACACTCTACCTAGTGGTTGTCCCAGACCAGAGAGCAACTGGACTAGCTTGATCAGTGGAAACCACCTTGAGACTGATGTGCCCGTGTAGTGCATCCTGCAGTACCTATTAGTTACACTAGTGACTTAGTTTCTTCATTGCATTAGTCCATTGCATACTCTGTTTTCCTTTAAGAGCCTTCCCTGACAACTGCTAAAATCTGGTCAGCAAGACCTCAGCACTAGTAGCTCTCATATATCTTCAAGCCCAAGAGTCTTATATCAACAGCTTCGCCCAAAGCCACCACTCTGTCATACTCTTTACATGCCCAGGTGACAGGTTTCAGCGRGGCTAGGGCAGTGGGCATGTTGGGACTCAAAGCAGGTTTGAGGGAACCTCAGAATGTTACTGTGCATCCTTTGTTCTCCAAGTTATTCAAAATAATTCCTCCTYCTCAACACAGAGACGCTCAGCTGCTCATATTCAGAGGGAGACACACTGTCCCACTCACCGACTCCAAGATACATCAGGCTGAGCATCCTCCCAGAGCAGAGCACAGTGAGGATCCAGCCCAGTAATGCTTGTTCAAACCCCAATCCTGGTCCAGTCAGGGGACACTCATCTCTCTCTCACTCTAGGCAGACCAGCTCCTCCTGGAGAAGCAGGCTTGCCTGGCCAAGCCCGGACACTGCTGCATCGCAGCCCCATCTCCATCAGGTGTGTCCTGCTGTTTGGCCAGTGACCAGAACCAGAAATCTGCTATTAAAAGGGCCACAGTTGCTTGCAAACACTGCATTAGAGCTCAGAGACACTAATAAGGAACACAAACAAATTCAGGAAACTGTTATTTCTGCTACTAGAATAGTTTCCAGCAACTCACCCTCCAGAGGCCTCGGGTACCCTCCTGCTGGTAGATATCAATGAAGCTGCCAATCATGCCAGTCTGGAATAAACTGCCTTGAGCCTGCATTCGAATCTGGAACAAAGGCAAGAGTCAGCGGGATGGAAGCAGGGCCTGCAGAGCTACCAGCCCAGGGAGCCTCCTCATGGAAGGGAGCAGCTTGGAGCAGAAACGCTGCCCATGTGCCCGGTCACTGGAAATCGAGCGGCCGGCGCGAGCAGCAGACGAGGAGCAGGGTGGAAGCACAATCCAAAACTCGGATAACAGTGACAGGCAAGACCTTCCTGCTCCAAATGTGATCCAGAAAGACAGATCTATACAGGGAAAAGCAGAGGAAAGCTCTCCAGACTCAGTCTGTTCAGAGCAAAGTTTTCTTGTGCCGGGCAGGAATGGAGGGGATCCAGCAGCTCCCACTGAGCCTTGGCCACTCCACATACCTGTATGAACAGCATCAGCCAGGCTAAGCCTGGTGGCTGCAGAGAAAGGAGCTGAGCTCCAGAGTGCCCAGCTACTACACCACGCAAMCTACCAATTTTTAAGATAATGCAACCTCCAATCCGCAACATAAAATGTTTTCTAATCTTTAAGAGTTGCAGGCTGTCCCTGGCCTCATCCACATCTTACCTTTAGCACATCGGTTGGATTGGCAAGTGCGGAGGAGATCACCCCTGACACCACTCCACAGATCACATTGATTAGTAATGTTTCATCTGCAAGCAAGAATAGAAGGTCAAATCCTACAGATCTTAAGAGAACATGGAGAAACCATATGGAATAAGCAAGAAGCTCCCAAATCACACGGTGAAGTTGCATGAGCAGAGACCGACCAACTATCCTCAGCAGCTGAAACGCTCAGCCACACTTTCAGAGGAAATCAGGTTCGATTGATGGGTCTAGCTGATCGGGCAAGGAAAAGATGGACATATAGGACAATTTTCAACAATTATCTGAGACTTCGGTGTCCCTGGATTGCGACAGAGACAGGGGAAGGTAAAGGAAAGAGAGAAAGAGGAGCAACTAAACTTTCTTGACTTAATTAGAAAGTTAGATGCAATTAGTTCTGGTTGGGAAGGAGGAGAGAGATCTCCAAGACTTCCAGGCCCATTATTAGAGCGACGGTTACATCGGAAAAGGCAGGGCCCTTTGCCAGTACTGACCACAGCACTTCCCCGAGGAGACCAGGCCCCTGGCTGCCCCGGGCCTGCAAGGAGACAAACATTCAGACCACGGTACTCACGGCTAGAAACGCGGCGGGAGACGCCGCAGAGCACAGGGAGATCTCCCGGAGGAAAAAACAAAACCCGGGGCTCGCCCATCTCCCCGACCCGGCCGCTAAGGGCGGGATGACGCTGGCCACGGCAGGGTCACAGCTGGGTTAAACCTCATCCGCGCGGCTGCAGCGAGCGCTGCCGCAGGGCCCTGCATCCGCGCGCTGGAGCCGCAGCTCGGAGCTCGCGCCGCGACTTCCCGGCAAAGCGGAGAGCGCCGGAGCGCGGCGGCTCCGCAGGGAGCGGCGCCGCTCCCGCAGCCTTCGACCCGCGCGCCGGGACGCGGCTGCTCCCAGGGGCACCCAGGGAGCGGAGATGCGCCCGGCACCACAAAAGGGYTTCTCGGCTCCGCCGCGATCCCGCAGGGAGGCTCCCCGGGCGGTGCGGGAAGCGGGGAGCTGGGCCGGGGGTGGCTCTGCGCGCGGCGGGGAAGGCGCCGGCGCGCGGGGGCACCCACGGACCCACCTTCCAGGTGGACCCACCTTCCAGGCGCTCCACGAAGAGGCGCTTCAGGCTCTGGTAGATGCCGATCTTGATGGTGCCGTAGGAGGCCTGTCTGAGCAGCGCGGGGGCGATCCTGCGGGCACACACCGAGCTGCCGCCGCTGCCCCGCGCCCCCGCGCCCCCCGCGCCCGCCGCTTACCCCGAGTAGAGCGCGCGGCCGCCCTCCTCGCGGCAGATGCGGAACAGCGCGTGGAACATGCCCCGGTAGCGGCCCTCGCGGCCCTGCACCTGCAGCCGCGTCTTGGTGAGGTCCACGGGGAAGGTGCCTGCGGGAGAGCGCCCGTCAGCGCCGCCCGGCCCGGCCCGGCCCGGCCCGGCCCGGCCCCGCGCGCCTCACCGAACTCGGCCACGATGGAGGCGAGCCCGCCGTACACGAAGGGTTTCCAGTTGAGCGCGGACATGGCATGGCGGAGCGGGCGCCGGCGGCGCGCCCTGCC